CCCATAGGTTGGGCACATTCGCTGTCCTCATACGCGCCGGCATGAAAATGAAGCAAAGCTTTCTGTATATACTGTTGTGCGCCTGTGCTGTCTATCCGGGTCTAGCGCTCGGCATATTCCTGGGCGATGAGGCAGAGGAGGCCAGTCCTTACATATTTGCTTTGGCCGGTAAGACCACACGTGTGGCCGCTATGTGTCTAAACAATTGTCTAATGAATGCTGTTTCCAATGAATGCCCCCAACGTTTAGGCGGTTTCTTCCTGTATATGGCACTCGTGGATGTGATGCGAGCGATGAACCGGTCGATGGAGAACGCGTCCCGAAAGGGGGTCAAGAGTATGGTTCAGATACTGGCGCTACAGAACGTGGGTATTATACTGTCGGTTATATTCCTATCGCTTCTGGCCTTCTATGAGCGGGAAATGGATTTCGAGAACATCGAGTTGGAAGACATCGTCGAGAAATCTCTCGAATAGACAGCAAAACAAACATAAAAACTTTCGGACAATTGTTTTATTAGTATTTGAAAAATATTTATTTAAAAAACATATGACAACTGAGAGATAGAGAATTAAAACGAGATGTTTTTTGCTAAAAAGTTATTTTGTTTAAATAATAAATAATATCGTAATGTTATTAAGACTTTGCATATTTGTGAACATAATCCCTAACTTTGAGTTGAAAGCTCTCGCGGTCTCTGAGGTAATGGTCAAGAGAGAGAGAGAGAGAGAGAGAGAGAGTTAGTATAGAGTACAACACACATAACAAAACTAATTGATTCAATGATATGCAAAAAATATATGCATTACAAGAATATTGTACTCTTTGGGCACATCGATGGTAAACCAGAAGCGCCCTCCGGACCAAAAGCACTCGTCATCCGACGGTGTAATACAGAGATCAAAACGAAACAACTCATTGGCGTTGGGAAACACCGCATAACACTTGTCGGGCATTTGGCGCTCCATCTCTTGCACCTCTGCAGAGGACACGGCGTGTGTTGTGGTGTTTGTGCCGGCGATCGACCATTCATTGCGATCAACCAAAACAAATACAGACAGTTAGTGATCATATGGTGGGTTAACACGTGGTGACCACCGACTCGTCGGGTGGCCATCGACTCCGGTGTGACATACCTTTGACGAGGAGTGCGTCCCGTATTAACGGTCGGATCCGTTGGTTATTGTTTTCTTCCGACGATTGCTTTTCTTTAATTTTTTTCGATAATCTAATCATTATTTTTGTGTCCAATTGTTTGAATGTCCGATAAAAATGCGAAACAATAGTTATTTTGTCATTAATTATTGAGTCTAGAAATCCATTGATTTGTTTTCGTCAGTCAAAGCGTTGTTACAAACAATTAAATGTATAAAAACTATTGTATATAAAGTAATGGCAAAAATATATATACAATTAATTCACTTTTAATTACAAAACAATTTGTTTACAATTAAATGTTAACTCATTTACAATTCAACAAAAACACTGATAATTATGTTTTACAACTAATTGTTTATTAAAATATAATTCATTACAAACTAAACAATTAACTAAATATAAAAAACTTGGTTTAAATTGTCATTAAAATGAATGCAATCAACAAATTGTAAATAAAATCATTTCATTTTGTGATTGATTTGCAAAACAAGTATTTTTTGATTTCATTTTCAAACCAATGTTTTGCTATTATTTATGTTGTGTTCAGAAATGACTGCATTTTATTCGTTAAACACTTGTTATAAACAGACTTTATTCCTAACCATAGATAGAGGCATATGTTTCACACGTTTATATCCCACCAAATCTCTGCCCCTTTAGACCACTATTTAAAAACTTCAATATTCTATATGTGATTGTATTCAAAATGAGTAATGCAGTGAAGCCAACCTTATTAATAAATTCAATACAGAATTTTAAGGGCGAATAGAGAGTGAAAGTATTGAGGGATATGTAGAGCCCTCGCAATTAGGCGCTTAATAATCACGTAATTTTTCATTCAATTTTAATTGATTTAAAACTATATTATTAATTGTAAAGTTAATTACACTTAATAATTATCATTCAATTTTCAAAAAGTTTTAAATAATTGTTTAGTTTTAAATCCTATTTGATGTGCAATAAGCGAATATCCGTTTTCACCTAGATGCAGCATTAACTTTATAATTTTACATTAATCAGTGATTATTGATCACAATTAAATTAACGCCTGATTAGCGATTATAACCTTCAATATGTAAAACAAAAAACAAAAATAAATACAATTAATGTCATATTCTAGAGATAAAACGTTGGAAATTAATTATTTACAAGTTTTATATTAATGATTATGATTTTAAGAGTCAATTAGTAGTACAAAAAGCAAACAATTCTTGTAATGAAAGCACTCGCTTGTACTCAATGTACGATATATTTAGAAATTATATCATTGTTTTATTGTATCACTTGTACTGTATTTCACAAGACTATTAAATGTTAAGCAATAGTTACGCAAACAATTTAATAGTCATTAAAAATGGATTAAAAGCTTAACAATATATTGTGTTATAAATATCATATGACATATGCTTTACATAATAAGATTGCATGAAAAACTACAATTAAAGACAACAAAATAATGCATTTATTGAATATAATTTATTTAATGATAATTTACTACAACAAAACAACCAATACACTATTAAGAATATTTATCTAGCGCTTTCTGAATAAACACCGAGCTTTATACAAAAATATAAACGTTAATATCACCAGTATTTACATGTATAGCCGGCATATCTCTAACTGACAGATCGTTTTTTATACAAATTTCACCACAAAATCACATGAAAAGAGTTGGCCGACAGCGAGGATAAAGTTTAGCACAAAAACATATCTACAAAAAAACTTAAGAAAAATATTAAAAAGTTAGAAAAATTGAAAGACAGGCAAAAACATTGTATGCAAAACAGGGCTTAATATAAACACGATATTTATGTTACGAGCGTCTGAATGGGTCAGCAGTACTGCAGTACACACTGTAGTTGTACTACACATACAGTGAGACAGCGATTGTTGTGTTATTTAATGCGTTAATTAAAATGTAAATACAAATAGTGTTTAAATCCCCAAAACTGATGTGTGTTTCAAATCATATGAGTTTTGGACCGCAATTAACACCCAATTTGAAGGCCATTCACACCATTCACGCCATGTATTGATTCACTAATTATAGCAATAGTTAAAAACAAAACATTAAATTTCATAAACAGTTTTAAAATACGGCAATCAATACATGACTCCAGTGTTACAAACGTCTCATTGAAATGCATTGATTTGTTTAATTGGTTGCAATTATAGCTAATTATACGGTGTTTTCAGTGCCAGAGATAACACAACCGTATTATTAGATAACATATAATTAATATGTGTTTTAAATAAACATTAATTGAATTGAGTTTTGAATGAAATCAAGAGCTAAGACGAGATCAGTGTTGAAGAGTATTGGTTGCCATTAATGTATGCCATCGACTGCTGAAGAGGGGAGACAATCGCCGCAAAGCTGGACCTATTAGGAGAAGATGTGGAGGAATCAGATGAACGTAATGGTGATAATTGTCTCGCGAGACGTGAATTAGTGGCAAACAATTATGATTTGATAGACACTGAGAGTAAATCGTTGTTGTCTTGTGTGGCAAACGATCGCACAATTGATTGCCATTCAATACATACTAATACTAGTGATAATAATCATTGCAATTATAATAATAGTAATAATACTAATCATAATAATAAGACTCATTCGTCGACTATAACAGGTCTTAACCATTGAATGTCTATATAATTAATTATTTAACACATAATTATAGTTACGATATAATCAATCTTACCGTACATTTGAATGCGAAACTCATTTTTTCATTCATACAATTCATAGCATCGCTTGCCTTAACCCTCAAGACTTGTTTGGGATTTGATTTTTTTATTAACAATACTTTTTTCCCCGTATTTTTATAACTCGACATCAAATCAGACGCTGTTTTGCAATTCACTCATTCATGTAATCAATTGTATTGTAAGAGTAAATGTAAAAAATCTATTGACAATAATATCTGTGATACAAATGTAATTTTTTAACGATTGTATGCTATGTTATCGTATGAATGATAATACAAGCCATTCATATCCTATAAGTTAATTGTCTAAAAAGTTTTTATGACATTTTTGCAGCCCTTTATCTCTCACTCTCGTTGTGTTTATCGCAAAATTATAGCAAAAATAACGATATATTTAATTATTATTTAACAAAAAAGTTCGCATTATATGTGATTCAATAGAAATCTCTTGAGATATTGTCATAAATTATAGCCAATCTCTTGTGTCGGCCGTAATGTACTAACAAATACGACAACTCGACGTATATTTAATTGTATTGATTGGTTTGTGTTAATGATTGTAGATATTTGTAACAATCGTGGTGTGGATGAAGTGGAACTCTTGTCTTTAGTCGAAGAACATATACCCAAATATAAGCTCCGTTACGATACTATCACTGAATTTACAGGTAATGTAAAAGACATTTCATTTCAATGTTATGCTTGTAATTTGTAATACATGTATAAATAATTGTCTACTCCTGTGATCTGCGATAAAAAACTAACGCACAAATCAGTTAATGGTTTAATTTTAGCTATAATTACAAAATCGATATTTTATTTTTATGCGCTTTTCTTTCGACGCGAAGGCTATGACAATAACGACTGGTATATCAAGACTCCAGTCATAGATAGTGATACTGTTGTCGACTTAAGTCCCGAAACTTTGTCGGAAACGTTGAAATACTTTGTCCTCTCGGCTGAACGCTTGAGCCAAATGACAAAGACTTACAATGATATCGAAGTCGTTACCAAACTCTTGAGAGAAGTATGTCTAACATTGTCTGCCATT